GATGATGAAATTAAACAAAATACAAACAACTACAGCCTCCAAAATTATGAATTTGTAGGATTAAGCTTCAAACCTGTTATATTATGTGCTTCAAAGATGTCTTTCATTTAAGAGTGGTCATTAAAGAGGAAGTGTGATTTTCTTTTTTACTGATGTTAGTATTGCTGAGTGTGGTATATAATTTGCACTCCTGGACAAAGCTTTATTTTAGAATGGTATTTTGACATATTTTCCCCCTTACAATAAATATTGCACATCCTGCGATTTGGGTATTGCGCTAGTCCATTTTGCAATCCTATGCAATAAAATCCTAATTGTTCTGAATTATCGGAGATCACGTTTTATTTCAACACGATATATTTCAAGCTGAGCCTTTGTCCTCCATTTTCTTTTTAGATAATGTAAACACATTAAACCTAGCTCCCAGATGTCTTCTTCTAAGCATTTACTAGAGGTTGGCATAGGCAGTATTCAGTAAAAGTAGTATATTGACTTTTTTTATAAGCTTAGTTTTAATGCTAAGCTAAGCTAACCATCTGCTCTTTTGTAGGTTTATTGCTTCTGTTTTGAGGCATTCTCCACCCTTCCTTCCTCCATCCATCGCTCCACGGTGCATCTTTATTAGCGAGCGCTGTCTTACAGTCCCTTACTCTCGTAAACGTGGCCCCAGGGAGTCCTCCGGTCTGCTGCTGAGCACCTGTGTTTGATTACCCTGACACAAAGTGCCACTAATCAGCCTCTGAACGGGGCCTCGAGGGGCTTTGATGCCCTTTCGTTCTAAGGAGGGCCAGATGTACTACTGGGACTGTCCTTGCTGCTGCCTGATTAAATTGACCCATCTTATTTAATGGAGGTGTTGGCGCCGGCTAGCTGGCGACGTCGTGAAAAGGTATTCAGGGTCAGAAGGAATAAGATGAAAACAGGTGGATTATGAGATGGGAGCCTTTTATGTTTTCCATTAAATCAGTTAGAGATTTAGCAGAGAATAAAATGGGTAATCAATATCAAGGATGAAGCTTATATGGAGAAAAGTACAATTATATATGTGTGATGTTCTCCTTTAGTGGTTAGGTCAACAGCAGAGGACAAAGGAGGGTTAAATCTGCTGAAATTCATTAATTACTGTTGATGAGTGGAAAATCTGAGTAATTTGTTGAAGTGAGTAAACAGTGTGAGTAAACAGGCCGGCAGCGGGATGGGAAAACGTGAAGTAGAGGTCACAATGAGGTTGCAAGATCAGCATGACCTCCACAAAAGCATTTTCTCCCAAGTACAGTTATCAGCAAAAAAAGGTCATAAGCCTCCATCTTGGTGAGCAGTCATAAGGCTTGATTGGGTATTGGTCTTAAGCCAAAAGCTTATGGTGTAGGAGCAGACAAGGGACAGGTCGAGGGTGGAGTTCATCGCTAGCTGGAGGCTGAAATGGACCATTAGTTAATCCCTGTTTGACCCACCGTCAGACTGGAGGAATGGATTTCTCTCTACTGGTTCCTTTGCGTATTACCTGCAGATATATGTTGAATTTAACCCAGTCAGTGATGCCTTAGTCACAGAAAGGAATCACTGAAATATTGAAAACCACTTTACTCTAAACTTTAAGCTGCACTAATACATATCCAAGGAAGACCTTTCCAAAAAGATAAGAAAATAAAAATATTTAAAAAATAGAATTGACTGCCAATATGTGTAAGCCCGGTCAGCCGTGATGACTTAAATAAATAATGGGTCCAAATGTAATGTATTCAGAGTCATATTTCCTTGACACCTTTACTGGCACAGTGTTGCCTCCCACTGTCCACATCTCTATTACATTTCAAAACAATCCATTTAGTGTTACTACATCAGAAGGATCATTTATTTTTGATGATTTATTGTCATTTTAGTGGAATTAAAATTATATATATAGTTATTGAAATACTCAATAATGTTGTCTAAAATGATAATAACTAGCAGATACTAAAAACATTTTCCAATAAAATCTCATTCTTATCATTGTTTTTACTTCACACGTGATCACTCCGCTTAATACGATTAACAAATGTGTATATATTGAAATATTACATTGTTCTTTCTCCATTATTTCAGCTGTTAAGTTTGTTTTGCACTACAGGGTTCATAATTAAATAAGGGGAAAAAAGGTTTCTTTTGTCAAGTATTTAGTTCACATATGAATAAGTATAATAGGTTTTACCATTTTAAATAGATGTTTTATTTATGTAATTACCTGCTATACCAAGCTATATGTGAACTATATTGCTATAGAGATATGAAATGGCCTATAATTGGAAAAAATATGTTAGCCTTGATGCAAGCCCCATTAGTAGTCATGATGATATTCAAATGTAATAGTAGTACATTTAAATAAGCAGTTTTTTATCTGACGTTCTTTATATTAGTGAATTGTGAACTATGACCAAAGAGTTTAATTCAATCTGACCATTTGGCATATCCCACAGGTTAAAAATAGCTGCGAAAAACTTAGTAAATGTTGTATCTGCGTGGGCTTTAGGACCTGTAGCTCTGTGCAATGTCAATATATATGTTCTATGTACTTTAAGCTTTATTAGGTAGGAATTGCCTGCATGTGCGTCAGTTTATTCCATATGTGTTTCTTGGTGCAGAAAGTGAAAAAATACTTCCTCCTTAAAAAAGAGGAACTGCTCTGCCACCAGTTTTTGCATAATTGACTATGCACTTTGTCGACGCTTGTTGGCAAATCAACTCTAGGCAAGAAGCAAAAGCAGGTCTCGTGGGTCCCCTCCTACCCACAGCCTTTGCATATTGTCAGAATCTCCCTCTCATGACTCTGACTTTAGTCGGCCTTCTGCCTCCTCTCTCCCAGTGGATTACAGTGAGATTCCTCCGTCAATACTCCCTTCATTTCTTTCTCGGGCTCCGAACAAGAGCGCTGCCAATCAATCGGTGGATGGAGCGTGTGCCAGGCTTGAATAAAGTAGTGAGCTGCAGAGGACAGCAAACCTGAGCAGTAATTTAAAGAGAAAAGATCCAAGGTCCATGGGGCAGAAATGGCCAGAGGTCAGTCCAATAATTGAGATGAAAGCGAGATGTCTTTTCACGGATGACCAAGACAGACCCACGCAGTCTAATTTATGCGTTCAGTGTCTATTTATACTGGACCTCGCAATCTCAATTCTCGAAGGATGCAGTACAGAGTCAGTTCCAGTCAGCCATTGATCGTCCAGAAGGGTGAGGGGTGTTAATCAGCTACCATTGTAAAGGATGAGCGCTTCCTAAAGACGCCATCCTTCTCACGTTTCTGCCAACACCCCCAGACATCGTTCACTGTCTGTGTGTGTGTGTGTGTGTGTGTGTGTGTGTGTGTGTGTGTGTGTGTGTGTGTGTGTGTGTGTGTGTGTGTGTGTGTGTGTGTGTGTGTGTGTGTGGCCTCCCTCTCTATCTCCCCCATCAATCTCGATCACTACACGTGTCTCATTGTGCATACAGCAACACACGCAGGTCTTCAGTTACAGCTTTTACCGAAATGGAGACATTAAAGGCAATTAGCCATACTCATGTATTCACGCTGTTCTCGTCATTTGTTTCCCCTTCCTTTTACAGTCTCTTTTTTTTAGTCCTTCAATGTCCTTTATCGTCAAATCATAAGTTCAAAAATACATGACCTATAGATCTAAGTTAAATGAAACAAACATGTGTCTGCTAAATGTTCATTATGTAAGTTTACAGGACATAATAATCTTAAATTGGCTCCTCGTTCCTCTGGCAGTCCTCCAGTGTGCTGCATGCTGGCAGCTAATTCTATATTCTGCAGCCAGAGGCAATGCATGTCTCATATATTCACATGAGATATATTTGACTTTGGTATTATCTGTTACGTTTTTATATTCCGTTTATTTACCGCAAAATTGTCGCAGAGAAGGCAGCATTCTCTATCTTTGTTGCAGCACTTAGACCTTTTTTACGGGAGTTTGCTCCGAGCATCCCTTTTTCTTTGGTCAAAACGCTGTCTTCATATAATGTCAGTGTTTTTTTCCCACTGATGTCAGATTGTAATCGTCTCCTCTGCAGTTTATGTTGAGGACAAATACTGCTCACGCTGGATCCCGCTGCTTATTGCCCTTCTTCTTTCTTTCGATCTCTGAGATGTGTTCTGAGAGCAAACCACGGATGCATTTTATCTCCCCCCCCCCCAAGGGGATGTGGTCGGGGTCTAGTCATGTGCGGTCCTCGGGCTGCCTCTCATTTTCCCTGTAAAAGATATACTCGGGAATACAGCTCAATCAGACAAATAGACTCAAAATGTGCAGGAAGAAACAATCTCTGCTGTCAGCCTCTGCTCATTATGACGTTACATAACAGCTGTGGAGGGCTGGGCTGCAGTATGTGGCTGTTTGATAGAAAATGCATGCTGGAGATGAATCCCCTCGATAATTCAGTGCAGATATTGGTTATCTTAAAGGTCCCCTATTATTCTGTTTTTCATCAAGATATTATAGGTCTCTATATATACAAAACATGTCTCTGAAGTTTTAGGCTCGAAATACCAAACAGATCGTGCATTGCAGCATCCCATAACCCCCTCTGTTTCAGCCGTGAAAAAGTGCTGATTCTCTGTCTGTTACTTTGAAAATAATGAGCCAGACCCCTCTGAGAGATATTTGACTAAAAAATAACACAATTCAGGTGATAAGGTGAGGGGGGTTAACTTGGTTGGTGATTGGCTAATGGTTACACAAGCCAAACAATCGTTATGACATCATAAAGTGTCCAAAATCTGATCAGCTCCTTTTCAGACATGTTTTTATATAAATGGATCAGGAAAAAAAGTGAGCTAATCTTTTTTCCTGAAACTTTCAGAATCTCTTTACACAGAGGGGACACATAAGTATAAAAGACATGGAAACGTGGATTTTGCATAATAGGGGACCTTTATTAATCAAATGATGATGCATGCACAGAGTATGTATTTATATCTCGCTCTCGACTTACCTCATTCTGTCACTCTTATTTATCTTTTTCAGATTGGCACTGAGTGGGATGCCAAAGAGCGCATGTTCAGAAACTTTGGCGGCCTGATGGGCCCCATGGACGAGACGGTGGGCATGCAGAAGTGGAGCAAGGGGCCCAACGTCACCGTCACGGTCGTGTGGATCGACCCCACCAACGTCATCGCGGCCACCTATGACATCCTGATCGACGCGGGGGCAGAGTTCACTCACTACCGCCCGCCGCTCAACCTGCCGCTGCGGCCCGGCGTGTGGAGCGTCCGCATCCTGCACCACTGGAGCCCCGTGGCCGAGATGCGCTTCCTCATCGCCCCGCTGACCTACAGCAAGCGCCAGCCCATACGACAAGGTGAGATTCATTCAGTTCATTCCTTCCTCTGTGCAGAGATGGCAAAAGTACGCACATCCTTTACTCACGTAGAAGTACAGATACTCGTGTTTAAAAATACTCTGGTAAAAGTAGAAGTATTGACTAAAATTCTTTATTCAAGTAACAATAAAGAAGTATGGGCTTTGAAATGTACTTAAGTAAAAAAGTACCCATAGCTACCAGCTGTTTTAAAGAGTACCTGACCTCCCTTTATATTAATAGAACAATAATGGAATTGTTAGCTAACGAATGTTTTGATGCTGAACAACGGCAAAATGATACGATTTCAATGGTCGCTCTTGTTTAGAGAAACCAGGAAATGATGGATACACGGATCGTGTTCAAATCAACATGCACGCAATGACTCTAAATAATAATGATCACGCCACTAAACACACATTCAAACTAAATCAACAAAACTGTTTTGAAAATGTAAGAAGTAAAAGCACAATGCGAATGTGAAAAATACTAGGATCATAATATGATTTAAGATACTTAGAAATAAAGTAAAATGAGCTCAAATGGGAAGGCACAGGTAATAATAATAATCCAATAATGTTAAATATGAACTCACTATGAAAGAGGCTGTTATGGAGAATATGTACTGTTACTTTTGCAGCATTTTGGCAATTACAGTTGCTTACTTTTAGGTACAATTTCAAATAAAGGACTTTTTCTTGTAATGGATCATTTGTATAGAGCAGTGTTGTTACTTACACATTTTTCCCCTTCCCCCTCTTGCATTTTGAACACGTCACAAAATGAGACTTAGTGTTCAAACCAAACATTGTGAGCATTTTTGTTGTCACGTTTTTAGAGTAGAAGCAACTGCTGCTTGTAGTTGTGATAAACCCATGTAACGCTTATTTTTGCTTTGAAACACAAAAATCACCTGCTTTATCTAGATCAATAGTTCAAATACTGGATGTTAAACATGAGAAAAACTGTTTTTAGTATCTTCTTCAATTGACACTCACATAGTTTGCAACGATAAGCGCTCTTAAGTGTCTGTAGACAAACACACACACACTCACGCGCAGCCTTATATTTGCTTTGATGCCCTTTCTAATCAAGCCTCTGGGCCTCTGCAGACTCCGGTTGTTTGTCATCAAGTCACCTTTAATAACCCGGCTGCTGCTCATACACACTTAACAAGAGTGTTAAACAACAGCGCATTTAGCCGTCCAAAAACAATGAAACAATGAAATCAATCAGGCAGCGTGGATAAGGGACATCGCATTGTTTAACTCCGTAAGCAGCCACTTTGCTCTGAAATCACTTGAGAGTAGAGACGCTGGTTCGGCTTAATCGGGCCTTTCTCCGTCTAATAATCTTACTGAGCCGTTTTAATGATGGAGACAAACAACAAGTAAAGTAACAGCTTTGTCTTCGACCTGTGTCTCAGTGGGCTTTTGTGCAAAAGTGTGAGTTAAATATTCATCTCTGGGTTTACGGCTGTTAAGGTTCAATCTTCTCTTGCTTCCTATTGACGTATGTGGAGACACATTTACCCTAATGCTAATTTAACGGTTTCGCTCCAAAGTTTGTTATCTTATATAGTGTTGTACCTCAGTTATCAGATGAGTAGCATCAGATAAAGTCCATTTATCTGGTAGGTTGTACTTTTTTGGTTTGTTGATGTAAATATTAGAAACACTGTTACCGGCTAGATTTATAATTTATTCATGCTTCTTGGGTAATTTTAAGCTGCCATGGCTCTTTTCTGTAACAAATGCAAATGTCCCCTCTGTGGGACGAATAAAGGGATTCTGATTCTGATCAAAAGGACTCATTATGTCTTGTTTCCGAATGAGAAATTATTATACTGTATATGTAGTTGGATTAGTGATGCATTTATGTGTAGCAGCACCTTATTAATGTCATTTCAAGTACTGTTCAGTAGTTCTTATATCACAATGCATCATATTTAATGAGGTGGTCATATGACCCATTTTTTATAAGAATAAGAGATCTAGTCATTCGTGATTAAACTGTTTAACTGATAGTGTTTTACATTTTTTTATCGATCATAGCTTTGCTACTGTGTTTGCAAACGTAAAGCATATGTATGTATATTATGTAACTTTGAATTTAAATGAACAGCTGTTTTAAGCAGCAAAATCTAACTGTATTCAATTCAGTATACTAATGAACATTCCATTTCGTATGACCAGTAGCTTGTGGTGGCTAACGTCGGCATATGTTAAATAGATAGTTCTGTATAACGGAAAATATTAAGTCAGTTTTATGTCCATAAGTGCTCCCATTATGCTATGATTTAGAATTCAGTATTAACACCGTAAAGACCTTATTGTCTTTCAATACCAGTACATAATAAGAAATACCTGACATTAAGTAGGATTAAATCATTAACAGATATTTGTACAGGAAAATACTTCCTAACTTTTAGCAGTAGAATAAAGTTATCTACTTTGCACTGCCATGTCTGGCACCAGGTTTCTCTCCTACCTGCAATGCCAGTTAAACTATATGACGTGGCCTTCCACCCGCATTGGCAGAAGCAGACACACACAAATGCACAGTGTACAGTCACACACTCTGCCACCACAAAGCTAGCTGGCATGGTATGGCCATCTCTCTGCCTGGCGGTGCACCTCATGTCTGACTGCATCTTTTCTGTCACCGGTGCATGAAAAGCGCTGCTCAGCCATGGTTAGAGAGGCTGGCTAGCGCCCCAGTTAGAGTAGCAGTGAGGAATTTACAGCCTCAGTGGAGTTTAGGGTGGAGAAAGTGTTTTAAAGGGGAAAGTGTGTCTACGTTTTTCTGTCTTCCTGCCTGTCATGGGAAGAAAGAATGAGGGCGCGTCTGACCGTTTCCACACAGTCAGCATCACAGTGGCTTGAAATACCACATGAAAGAATGAGACTTAGTTGTGAGAATCAATCCAACAAAATTAGCAGTACCAAGACACCGGTTCAGATAATACTTAAGGAACACACGTTCTTTGCTTTGATATCTTACCGTTCATGTCTCCCTCTCTCCGTCTGACCACTGATGATCAACTCCTTCTCTGTTCTCTTTCTCTCTTCCTTCCCACGTCTCTTCAGAGGATACTCTGAAGCTCCACAACGGGCCCACTAAGAACAGCTACATGGAGCAGAGTTTCCACGGCCTCAACCCGGTGCTCAACATCCCGGTCAGCCTGGGCTTCGTGGAGCAGGCCAAAAGGAACGCGGCCCTGACCGGCCCCGAGCTGGAGCGCTGGTCAGACAGCCTGGTGGGCGAGATGTGGGAGGCGGCCGACGTCTGCGCCGTGGGCCCCACCGCCTGCCCCGTCATGCAGGCCTGCCCTAAGAACCCCTGGAGTTCCCTGAGCCCAGACCCCAAGTCCCACATGGGAGTGGCGCGCGAAGACGGGCGCATCAGGTAGCAGCGAGGCCTCCAGCTGGACAGGAGGCCGCGGCGCAGGAGATTCACTGTTGATTTTTATTTATTTAAGGGGTTCGCTGCAGGTGGGGGAAGGAAACGTGATCTCTGTCTCTGAAGGAGAGGGAAACAAAGGAAAAAGTGTATTTTCTCGGGGGTTGGCGAGGGTGTCTGGACAGAAAGCGAAAGGAACGATTTTCAGATCCTCCCACGGGGTTCCTCCTTTTAGGGGATTATGCTGGCTTTGCTATTTCAGTTTCTCAGTGTATTTATTTTTCTTCTCATGGCTGAATTTTACTGTGATCAAACGTTGCAATTTTCGAGCATTTATTTTTGCTGCTGAATGAATTATGAAGTCAGCTTTTAAAGCCCTGCACGGGGCACAGTGGTCATGTGACACTGGCAACAGACGAAGCTCTGCTGCAGAAAAAGACATGCATGAGGAGGAAGCCTAGTACTGAACTAAATGTGCCTCCTTAAGTGTGTGTCAACATAAACAAAATGAGACAACATCTGAGTGTTCAGATTTACCCAAACAGTCGGAGAAGATTATTTTGATACAACTCAAATGCAGCACCATTTAAGATTATAAATGTCCCATTTATGGAGAAATATTTTAGCATTTTCAAAGCAAATTAATTCAAAACTCAAGAGATAGTTGGATGACTTCAGTTTGTAAATCAGTAGAACGGATAAGTAACAGCAGCACAACTGCTCTCAGTTCAGTGGCTGATCAGGATGTGGAACTGCTGCAGTAACATTTCGTTAAAATATGGAAAAAGAAGAATGCAAATAAAGAGGCCTTTTCAGAATAATGAAACCTATTTGGATTATAATAGAAATCTAATGTTAGTTTTAGTGTTGTAAATTCATAAAAGCTTCATTTTTGTTCTTTGTACAATAGCGTTTTAAGACTTCACATTCACATAGTTTCGGTTTATTTTACTAAAAACCAACAGGTTGTTTTTTTCACCGACATGCCTCCAACTGAAACACTCGAGCTGACCTTAAATGATCATCCTCATCTTTTTTTACTTTCTTCCACCTTATGTTGTACAAGATTATACAAGTCTCAAAAAAAATGTGTGAATGAGGAAGGGGGGTTGGGTGAGTCCATGAGTCGCTATTTATTTATAAGTTTATATTAATACTGATATTTTTAGTCAGTGACTAAATAACTGCGACGCTGCCTTGGCAGCATGATAATATTTTTTGTAAAGAAAGCCGCCTTTATTTACAAAGGCCCTAACCCCAAACTTGTACCTTTTTACGGCCCGCACCTGTGTGTTAGTCCATGTTGTCCTGTCTGAATAGATCTCCTTGTCTTGGTTTCGTACATGGCTGTTTGCCAAGAGAAAGACACTGACCTGCGGGGTCAGAGGTCAACTATACCTAACAACCTCGGCAAGGGGAACAAACCTCACACACATTGGACAGCGTCTGAGTCAAAGAAGAAACTTTGCATTTTGGTGTTTCATGGTTCAAGTCAGTTTCAGAATGATTGTGGTGATCTTCATGCTGTGACCATAATGTACAATTTCAAGTGAATATTATATTGTATTTGATTGCAAAATGCATAAATCCCTACATGACCCATCAACCCTTGTTCTGCCATTGAGACAATCTCCGGACAACAATTTATAACTCATCCTGAACAACAGGTGCGCTCAGATGTTTGTTTTTCTTTGAAATAAGTTTCATCTGGAGCCAATTAGAGTTCAATCTGTGATTGTCAACATTGTTTAGCCACCACACGGGCTAAGTGAGTGTTTCTGCACAGGCTAATTAAGAGACATTTCTGTTCATTAATGTCAAGTTCACCTTGCCTCTCTTGTCGGATGTGTCGAATGCTATCACTCCTTCCCTCTTAACGCATTATGGGGTTTAAGATGAAAAGGACAGTTTTAGTTTTTCACTGGTTGGCTTCTGCTGCCAGCTTTTAACTTATCATGCCTCCCTGTTCAGAACAACTACATCACACAATACATATTATTATGTAAGCTCAATGACAGTTTTGGAAAAAGGTGAATTAAATAAATGTAAGTCAATGTGGAAGTCCTATTTTGTAACAAAATGATTAACAAATGAAGATGTACATAGGTATTTTGTATTGAAATATTGTTTTAAAAAAAAGGTATTGTACATGTAAATACAGATGTGGTTAAAATTAATTATTAAGAATTTCTGAAGTGTTAATAACTGGGCACAAAGAGTAAATTGATGGTGTTTATTGATCAAAGTACATAACCTGTTTCAGTGTTTTTTGGACAGCTGTGACAACAACCTTGTCCTTTTTGCCTCTCAGAGAAAATCACATGCCAGATTGTTGTTGTTCTTGCTGGAATGTATTGTTGAGCAACTGTTGCACAAACTTCTTTGAACTGACGTTCCCCCCCCCCCCGTTATCTTTTTCCGGGGAGGCTCTGTGTGCCTTAGCTGACTTTTAGTATGTTCTCTGTCCATTAAAAGAAGGAAAACCTTTTATTATGTTATTTGTTTTTTGATCTGATGGGAAGAATACCATGAGTTTGTGGAGTGGTTCACTGGTACTGCAACACCAAAAAGATGTCTGCTGATGTATATATCATCAGGCCTTATGTCTTTATCAGCTTTTGTTTTTATTTGTTTTGTTGTTCTTGACTGGCTTGTCTTACTTTTCTCTGACTGCTTTTTGGAAATAAAATTATATGGAAAAAAAGCTCATGTGGACTTAAATCTTGAAACCTGCTGAAGCATCTTTCCACCATTACTCTGCTGTTGTGAATATAGACCAAGTTAAATTAACCGGGTAAAATAATGCATGTAATACAGAATATTTTTCGTTAAACATGAATCTTGTCCTAAACTCCTTATATGTCTCAAAATATCCTTACACGGAGGAAAGGCTTAGCAAAATGTGATTTAAATTCCATTAAAGCAACACTACCAATCAAAGTTTTGTATTAATAATCGATTTAATGGCTATGTGTAATGTAAAAGGGGTCGCCTAAAGCGTAAAAAACAAATCATCTTGGGACTGCAGTTCCCCTCAGCTCTAGGGAGTGTTTTGGGTCTTTCAGCCCATTGTTAAGGCTTAGTTTTACAGCTCTCATTGGCATTGTTTCTAGCAGTACCAAGGTTTTTTTTTTTGAGAAATAGAAAGCTATAATAACATTACTCTAAACTCCCTGCCCTCAGTGTTGCCACGTCCAGGCTTTGTCCTGAAGAAGGTTAGAAAAATGTGTCGGCTGGTTGGATGGACCTATTTTGCATGAAAATAAAAAATAAAATAAATAAATGTCCAATTGAATTACAAAAGATTCATTTATATGTATAGATTTTCATGTGAACATACATATAAATGAATATTTTGTAATTAAATTGGACATTTATTTATTTTATTTATTATTTTTTATTTGTACCTTTATTTAACCAGGATAGGTCTCATTGAGATTAAAAATCTCTTTTTCAAGAGAGTCCTGGCCCAAGAATGATAACAGCACAGTTTCAGACAGTTTTACAGTTACAGACAATTAAGAAACAAACAATCACAACACAGTCATACACCAAGTTTAGCCAAAGCATTTACAGACACAGCGGCCTGCTTCAAGGTCAGTTAAAGTTTCTTTGAGTGTGTTTAATGAGAGCAGCTCTCTGAGTTTCAGCTCAGTTTGAAGCAGGTTCCAAGTTTGAGGGGCAGCGTAACTGAACGCCCTTTTCCCAAGTTCAGTACGGACCTTTGGTACAGTTAAAAGGAAAAAGTTCTCGGAGCGAAGCCGATAAGATCCAGTGCATTTTCTGTTTATGTACATGCTTAGATAAGGGGGAAGAGCACCAAGAATAGCCTTATATATAAGGATAGGCCAATGTTTCAGTCTACGCATGGTCAGGGAAGACCATCCAACACGAGTGTATAGATTGCAGTGGTGCGTCAAGGTTTTGAGTTTTGTGATGAATCTCAGTGCACCGTGGTAGACAGTGTCCAGCGAGTGAAGGCACTGAGAAGATGCATTCATATAAACCACATCTCCATAATCCAGCACAGACAGAAAGGTTGCAGACACTAGTCTCTCTCACCCATAATCCCCAGCTATTGTTTGGGACTACAGTCCCGTTGACAAACCCCGTGATTAATCTCCAAGCTCTGGGATTTGGATGTTGGAGTGTCAGTGCGCCAAGGTTACGCCGAGCGTCAATCTCTTTGAAATGGAACGAAACCACGGCAGACTATTAAAAACTGGACTCGAACGCCCCCCGAGAACTACACATGCTGGCTATTGTGGTTGCAACCCAGTCTCATAAAAAAAGTGTAATAACTACGCTGGTCCACAACGTAGGACGTAGTATTTGTACAAAAACGCCTCTGAAATTGTAAGATCCATACGTTTTTTTCA